CATGCGGCGTACGGGAACTGCTCGCCGTGGGATTCTTTTGCAGTTATGTATGTTCCGCTCGTTGTTCTGTACTCCAAGATGAGTTGTTTTGTACATTGAGGAGTTGGAGATGAGTAGTGAGTGCCCGTGGTGAATTTTGATCGGCTCCGAAAAGAATACACCCAAGATGTTGCGTGAAGAGCTGGCTCACATGTCCTGCGTCCGAAACAGAAGTGGCATTGTGCGACAGAGTTTCCGAAAGATCAACGGGATCGGGACCAATGGCTGGCTGCATTTCCTGTAGACCATTTACGGGCACCTCGGAAAGCGGACGCTACCTGATTTATATGCTCCTTGCATTTTGTGGAAAGTGATTACATTGAGTTCGCAGGTGTCAAAAAGGAAATCCCATACCATTTAATTCAGCGACGTGTCGGCCACAACATTTGTTTCTTATTTTTTTTGTTTCTTCAGTAATAATTGTTAAAAAAAAAAAAAAGAAATGTAAACATCAGAAAATATTATTAAAAAAAGTTTCACAGGGGATCGAACCCGGTCCTACCGCGTGTGAAGCGGACGTCTTACCCACTGAGCTACTGGGGCATGTCGATACTGGGGGATCTCTTTCCTTAGTAACAATTCAGCCGATAAACTGTAAGTTGGAAAGTTTGCTGCCGATTTTTCTCTAGCAAAAGCACTCCAGGGTCGAAGTCCGGATGCACCACGCATTGGCGACATTCTCACCTAGTAAAGAAATCGTACGCGTGCATATTCAACTCGAAGTAGACACGTCGCGCTTGACGTTTGCGCGAGCGATGTCTTCAGCCACAAGAAGGGAGCGACGGCTCGGAGACGTCTTCGTGCAAATCGGCTTGGTGGTCGGGCGTGTCGTAAGGCATGAATACCAATTCTTTTGAACAGTCCCAAATTTCTCTTTTAAAGGCGGACAAAATTCGCCGGTACCGCGAACGACAGTTCTGAAATAGAGGTCCCACGCCCGTCGTCCGCTGCCATCGCCGTCCCTGCGAGTCCCACGATACGCGAAACGACGTACGCACAGAATGCTTCCGGTTGTCTGTGGAACTTTTTTTTCAATCAACGTATTTGCAGGTTTTTAGAAGCCACAAAAAATGGGTTTCATATTTTTTTCTATTTTTAATATTGAGTGTGTCCCTTCAGTGACCCACGACTTTGATTAAATTTGGTGGTCGCATCGATACCTTAGAAAACGGCCCGTGACCGCGGAAAAGAGAGTGAGCGAGACTCGAACCGGCCAGTTCTTGATCGGCGGTTTTCGGGCGGAAAGAAACCGAATTTCGAGCCGCAAATTCTGTTCTGGGTAGTTGAGCTCTCATATGTCACGTACAACTAAAAACCTCGGCGAGCATAAATACCCTGTCAGTGTCCCTAGATTAGCCAGGGCCCAGGGGGGCCCAGAAGTCTGGGGTGGGCGCTTGATGTGTCCCCTGCATCAAATTCAAACGTTTCAAAAGTCGACGACGGGCGCTTAATGCGACATGGGAGCATGCTGGGTATTTTACGTTGGTACAAGCCGATACAACTTCCTAATCCCTCCATGCAATAATTTTCACTTTTCAAACCATGGCAATTATTTACGAAGCACTTATTTTCAGTTTCCTAATGCAGATGGCTTCATTTTACCACAAATGTTATGTGAGCTCCTTCCCTTGATAAGACTGGTTTGTTCACGCCCTGCAGGGAAATTGATGCCTGTGCATCGTTGGAGAGACACTATCACAAACGCTCAGTTAATAATGTGTGAAAGAAGGTGCAAGAAATTTTAATGAACTAATCAGCGCGTTGGGTAAAAGAATAAATATGCACATAAAGCGTGCAACGGCACAAAAACATCTTTCATGCCTTCATGACATAAAGATGCGCGTGTGCTGTTCCTTGTTTTAGCCATTTATTCTTTCTTATACCTGAAGAAATTTTAGACTCACACTTGACAGTTCACATCTGAGCTCTGCAAAACCTGCCAGCGAAGTCAAGTACAGTGCAATCTACTTACAACGACAATAAGAAAACCCGAAAATTCAGTCGTTAGAACTGATTATTGTTGTATCTGAACTAGAAACTGGGCATTCCTAGCATAGAAACTCTAGAATTATCAGCAGTACAACGTTATATGAGGTATCGTTATAAGTAAATTGCAGTGTAGTACATTTCTAATAGCACTACGTCTGACATTCTTATTTGTGTGACATCTACCCAACCCAGTGAAATGCTAATAGTTTTCCTTGATTACATTGTAGCAACACCTCCAATCTGATGCTGCTCAGTGACATTTCCTGATGGATGTCGCATACCTTGAGCGAACCCTATAGATTGGACGAAACGAGCATAAAGACCAACAAGCGTTTTGGTTTAATCATGGCATCCTCAACCTCTGCTCTTGTGGCTCACTTTATTGTCTTCTTTCACTCTATACGGTACACAGAACACTGCGATAGGGCGCTAAATCAAAGCATTACCTATGTAGAATATTTGGAAACCTAATGTTTGTTTTCTGGTTCACTTAAAGGCTTGTGTGCTTTCCACTTTTTCCTGCCTCCTCCTTTTCTATATCCTTCCCTTTTTACCTCTCCCAACTTGGCTCCCCTCGCAGCTTAAGAGAGGGGAACGCTGAGAGGATTATCTTCCCTGCAAAAAACCGAGGTTGTTTGTTGGCCTTTACATGGTACTTAATTGCACTATGTAAGAGGGAAAGGTAGAGAGAAGGTGAAAAGTGAATTAATAGACTAATTTTTTAACACTTTAGTTGCTTCAGTTGCCGGTTACATTCCCAAAGATACAAGGAAAAAGTCACACACCTAATGCATTCATGCAATGCCACGGTGGACTCGAGTCTCATTGGATTTAGCTGCCTTTCCAACACGTACAACTCATCAGACACTTTGTTGTACATGTTTCTGGTGCTTTCTAAAGGCAAACCTACATAATCGTCTTCTGCCGGGAAGAAAACCGGTTCCCAGTTTCCTTCTCCGCATTCCCTCTTGCACTCTTTGCTCCTCCTTCCCCCCGGGAGCTACCCCCGGTTGAGAGGAGGGTCTTCCTCTTTTTCAAATGGAAAGGAGGAATTGAGGAAGAGTTTCCTCCTTTCTGCTTGTTAGTTGGTTGAAAAGTACTTGGGGTGGGGGTGGGAAGTTTACAAGCTAAACCAACAAGGGGTATCGGCACACCCTAGCGAAGAACTGAAAATTCAGACCACATGGGAATTTCTTCACATCCATACTACAACCTGTTGCACAGCATGTTCTCTGGAATTAGTCTCTACAAAATTTGAAGCACTCTGGCCAAGATTTAAACTTCAAGCATTCTGCCTCAGAGCCTGTTTGACTCTGGCCGAGATTCAAGCATTGTGCCTCGAAGCCACCACTGAGGCCAAAGGCTGGTTCCCATATTTGCGTTTGAATACGAGCGACCGCAATGGTACCTCTTGCAGCTGCTCGCGAGAAAGCGCTGGCTCTCTAGCGTTGTCTATCAGGTAGTCTGATCTGCGTATAACTGGCCTCATAAACGCCAGCTAGTTTCTATCCGTAATGCACAAATTGTCCACTACCAGAGCAGACGTCACGCGTACCTCTGTGGGTGGCAGGGTTCTCCCCACAGTGGGCAGTAGTGGTTTTGCCACCCACCGGTCTGGTTCATTGCCCATTTCTATTATGTCCAGCTCACCTCTATATTTTGCAGCTGCTGGACAAGACGATACTAATTTTGAAAATGCACAATGACCCAGATTGTTGTGTTTGGCACACCTGTGCAGCACTACGTAACAGAACTCCATAATCCCTGCAAACAAAATCACGTGCAATGCAGTAGAGAAAGTTGTGAGAACACCAAAAGTTGCAGTAGTCACACCGTCTCCTCTCAATACCCTGCAAATTGTCACGTTTACACATCTCAAATATTTTTGGGGAGAACCTTGAACCCATGAGGACAAGACAAGCTAGACGCAGAAAATCTCAGACAGTTCTTCACGGCAGTTTTCTCATAGAGTTCGGATAATAATAATTGAGGTTGTGTGAATATTTATACAGCATGTAGTTGGTCAGCCCTTTCAAAGTTGCGACGAGTCACTCGCTGTAGATGAGCAATTTAGCCAGTGCAGTACAACGGCTAGCCTGGGGTATTTAACGTGCACTACGCAGCAGCGATGCACGACCGCATGCCGGTACGATGCTCATCCAGTTCGAAACGGGCAGGGGTGGGGATTGAATGCAGGATCCCCGGATTTTGCAGTGCAAGCTTTCGCTCCACGTGCTCCGAGCTGGTGTGTGCTAGGCCACTCGGCCACCAATCCCCCTAGAATCCGGATCACAACACGCATTCCGTGTTATGATTTCTGGGCCTATTTAGATAATGGTGTATCCTAAAATGCATTTTGTGTTAGGACACACCTTTATCCAAATAGGCCCAGAAATCGAGTGTTCCCCCTCACAAGCTCTGGGCCTTGCCAATGTCTGTCTCTTCCATGACCCTACAAGTCATAATTCGTCGTGGCTATTGCCTTTCCTGGTTGGTTCACGGAGCAATTCAAGGCCATTGCTGCTAGCACATTGTGGTGTTTATTTGGAACACTCTTAACTTGCATCTGACCGTATACTAAAGGTTTCAAGGTATTTGCAAGATCAAATCTTCACCCTATCCATGAAAAATAGTCGCCTACGACATTGTAAAAATTATTTCAGGCACTTGGAGAATGATATGTAAAATATACGGAGAGTGGAAGCATTCTAGGGCTACCGAACAGGTAATGCCTTGCGTTCCCCTGTCGTTAAGCAGTTGCAAACAGTTGTGATGCAGTCGATCAAACTCAAACGCATATGGATGAACCAGCACTAAGCAAAGTGGGGGTGTAGCAGGCTTTCAGATATTTAGATTGGGACAAGCTGCCAAACATGCAGGAGGTGGACAATATTCCTACAAACATGAACAATGGCCCACGACACCAAGAGCTGCACTCGGAAACTGCGGTATCCCGACCGAGGCCACCCGGCAATCAAATACAATGCTTTATTTGAGAACCGTTAAAAAAAGAAAGTGCCGATGCTGACTAGTAAAATATGTACATTGCCTTAAAAGAAAACTTCGTTCAGACAGGGAGAAGCTGCCCATGTAAGATCTCGTACACCACCCGCTTGCGGAAATATGGCATGTGCTGCTGTCCGAAGGAGATCTTGGCATTGCGCGACACGCATTCGGCGTACTGACAGGTGAACATGCCACAGTCGCTGCCGTTGTGCTGCTGCGGCAGGTCGCTTATCACCTGCAGCTTCCAGGGTTCCCAGTCTAGGCCGTGTCCCCGCTTGTCCTGGCTCTCTGCCTCCAAATAGAGCTGCAACTTGTGGAGGCAGTTGTGCCTTTCGCGGCTGCTGCCCATGCTGTCGTAGTAGGCGATGTGCTTCTTCCTGAAGTCGATTGTAGCGAGGCACCAGTGCATCGTGAAGTGGAGCGGCACCAGGACTATGTCGTAGGAGAAGAGGTCCACTTTCCTCGTCCACCGCCTCACGGCTGAGTGTCCCTCGGCCGCCATCTTTGTGAAGAAAAAGGTGTTGAAGGCGTACAGCTTGGGAAGTTCGCTGTTCTGCTTGGTCCGTTCGACGAGCAGGTTCATGTAGAAGTTGACCACCTCGTCGTTGAGCCACTGGTACTCCGCGAGAGTGCTCATGTCCGAGCGGCTGATGGTCAGTCCGAACCCCTTGGCAAGGGCTTCGTGCGCGGGCGTAGGTCTGAGTGCACTCTCAATCTCTTCTAGCATTGGGCCAGTCAGCTTAGGCAAGACGAGGCCGTCGGCAGAGGGAAGGAAGCGCCTTAACTCGGAGCTGTGTTTCATTCGCTTCTTCTCGGCGTTTTCGATCTGCGCCTTGAGTTTGTCACGCCAGTTGACTTGTGGTGCGGCTTGCCTCATGAATGCCTTTTTGGCAGGGGTGGTGTTCAGATCACAGCTGTTGAGCATGCGCTCGTAGCATACCCTCTCGCAGAGTCTGAACGCGCTCGGCGTAGCTGCCGACCCACTGTCGCCCGATGGACGGTCGGCGATGGTCCTGAAGCGTGTTAGAGGAGGTCTGTTCCACAAATCATCGTCTTCCTTACCATTTGCCATTGTGCCCAGGCGGTTGTTCCAACAGCGTTCGTCTAGGCCGCTGACTTGGGTGAGCTTGATGTCGCCGAGGCGTCCACGTCTGCGGTCGACCACCCAGTTTTTCCAGTCGGAAAGCTTTTTCGAATCCTCGTCCTGCGCTGCTTGGTTGTCATCGTTGCACGGAGATTCACAGTAGCCATGTTTGACTGAAATCCCGCGTTTCATGAGCGTGCAGGAACTTGGCGTGAACATGACCACCTTGACACTCACTTGTGTCGTAAAGTTGGCACACTCACAACTTGGTTAAAAGGGACGGAGCTGGGTCGCGACTTAATTTTCCTTTCTTTGTATAAAAAGTTTGTAGGGTTTTCTTTGAGAAAGCACTTTTTAAAACCGGCATAGAACGCGTAAAGCAGTGACAAGGAAACAAAAAGAAAAACAGCGCCTCGTCACGGGGTTGCTAGACGCGTTTTGGAAGATTCTCTAGATTGTGTTCTGAATCAAACTGCACAAACCACTCAAGCAGCCCGTTTTGTTCCTTCATAAGGTTAGCAAACTACTGAATAAATTGTTACTTAGCACAAATTTATCATCTATTTAAGTTTTTTTCTTCAGACACTTAGGCTCAGTTTTATATCTTTAAAGTGTGAAGTCAAGGTTTCGTTTTGCCATGCTGTCACGGGGTCCCAGTTGTTTTCACGCTGATCCTCCGAAAGGAGGTCATTGCATTAAGAAATGCCTTTAGTTTTCTTGTTTACTGTCGTAAAAATTGTTTTCAGAACGAGGAAAGCTTAAGACCTCCGTGGTTTAGTGCTTATCGTTTGGCAATCTTGCTATGTACAAATATTTGGCGCTATTTGGCTGTGGATTATTGCTCGCGTGCGCGCCATATGTTTACGAGGTATGTGGCCGGTTCGTTGACTGGTTGTGCTGAGCAGCGGCAAAGTTCTGCCAGTTCTGCGGCTGGAGATTTGGTGTTAATGATATTCTCGTCACTGCTTCCGATCAGGCGTTAATAGGTCGACTCCGTGGCTTTGTGGAGCAGACCGACGCGAAAACGATGGCTGAGCAGCTGTTTGAGGACTTTTGGCAATGGAGGTTGAGCGACAGCCCCGAACTTGCGACGACGGTCGGCGTCCACGATTACGATGACATCCTAGAGTCTTACTCGCTCCAGTCTTTCCAAGAAAGGAAGGTAAGATCGCGCTTGTACCCCAACCAATATGTTTCATCTGTCGTGATTACAGTCATTGGGAGGATGAGAACGGTAGAGCGTCTCTCTCGGTCGCTCGACCCCCAGCACGTTGCCTTCCAGCAGGCTTTGTCTGCGCGTGCGCGCTCGTGGCTCACGAGACGTCGAAGCGTTATCGAAGGTAAAGAGGTCGCGCTGGAGGCGGGACAACTGAAGAACCTCCCTGCCTTTCTGATCCTGTCGGCAGTGCCGTTTTCAGCGTGCGTGCGCATGCGTTTGCCTTTTGAAGCATTGTACAGTCTCCGGCAATATGAAAGACCCACTGGGAGCGCGTGGCCGAGGCGGTGGCTGGCGGGGGCGCTTCGAGCGCTCCGGGCAATTCCATTCAGCTTCGAGGAAAGGACGTTCACTCGGGCTCAGCTAAAGCGAAACGCGCTTATCAGATTGTGGTGAGTCCCGAGTGAGCGTCCTCCCCTCGAAGCAGAATGGAATTGCCCGGAGCACGCGCAGCGCCCCCGCCGGCCACGCGCTCCCAGTGGGTCTTTCATATTGCCGGAGACTGTACATGCGTGTGCTGGGCTGTGAAGATCGCACGCTGGGCTGTGATTTTGTAAACATTGGAATGGTGCAAGTCATGGTCAAAATCGCACGAGCAAATGACGTTTTATATAGGGAACAGCGGTCATTTGAGCGAATCAACGATTTAGCGAATGACGTATCACTGGGGCGCGTGTTAACCCACCTGCCCCCTTCGTTTACGCCGCTTTGCTTCGACGATCGGCGGCGGCCCATTACAAGAATGTTAACCTACCTGGCCCACCCATACATGCCGCTTCGCGGCTGCCGACCATTCACTAAAGTGTCTCGATGAAAAGACGTGGGCGGGACTTCGTTCACTAAAACGTCTTTCGACCAACTGTGTGCCACTCAGGAAACGTATACAGCTATAACATATATTGGTGAGTAATGAACTTTCTGTATCTTGCAAGTTGCAATCTATCACTTGCAGAGCTTGTTCTGCGAGTGGCCTGGGCCCGGTCAAGCACGTTGAGTGTTGGAATACACAATTATTAAACATCTGAACTGGTTAACATTACACTTTATTCTAAACCGGTGACGAACGGATCAGAAGGGGACAAACGCACACATCTCAGCGTTTGTTTGTCCCCTTGTCGTCCATTCGAATCTGTACGTATTTATGCTCGTTGATCGTTTTTATTTGAACATGACCTATAAGATCCCAACTACCCAGAACACAATTTTCTGCTCGTAATTCGTTTTCTTTCTGCCCAAAAACAGCCGGTCAAGAATTGGCCAGTTTGAGTCGCGCTCACTCTCTTCCATGGTCACGTGACGTTCAAACTTGTCTACCAAATATATTTAAAGTCATGGGTCATGTAGGTGGATGACCCACGACTTTGAATATAATAATAATAATAGAAAATTATATAAACCCCATTTTTGTGGCCTCCAAAAAGCTGCAAGTACGTTGATCGAAAAAAAATGTTGCACTGATCACAGGAAGTTTAAGTACATGTCATTCTCAATATGGCAACGACTGGACAATGCAGTGGCAGCGCACGACAAACCAACGTTGGGACGTCGCAACGTTGGTTTGTCGTGCGCTAGTGTTGGCCTCACGTTGGACATGGGGCCAATACCTTAGAACTTTCATTCGTGGTACCGGTCAATCAATCTTTAAGTGCAGAACATTGAGCGGAAGGGATATAACGCGAAACAATCGCACGACAATTGGTGCATGCAAGTTCATCGTCGTCTTCTGCTGCACACGTTGGAGAAGCGAAAAAAAAAAAAATGCGGTCAGGTGTGTTCATTTGATTTCTGGCATTGAGCTTCCGTGCTTGTGTTTCAGTTTTGGTTTCGAGCAGTTGAGTTTTTTGTTTTATTAAAAATGTATGTGACTGCAGCAAAATATTAATTGGGTAGTCTCCCAACACATATTAAAGGGACACTGACAAGGTATTTATGCTCTCCAAGGTTTGTGTTCGTACATGACATATGAGAGTCCAACAACCCAGAACACAATTTGCAAATCGAAATTTGTTTTCTTTACGCCCGAAAATCGCCGATCAAGAACTGGCCAGTTTGAGTCATGCTCACTCTCTTCTCCATAATCATGTGCCGCTTTCCATGGTTTACACACAAACATCAAATATAAATAATATCGTGGGTCATCGACGTGCCATCGGTGACCCAATATTAAAAATAGAAATGAAATATGATACCAATTTTTTGTGGCTTCTAAAAAACCACAAATATGTTGATTGAAGAAAAAAAAGTTGTACAGCCTCGTGATTTCTGCCAACTCTCCCCTCCTCTATATTTCTTCTTCCTCCCCCAGTCCAGTTACGGTTTCGGTTTTGAGCAGTTGCTTCTTTTTGACTTTATTCAAAATAAATGTGACGGTGTAGCGAAATACTGATTGAGTAGTCTTCTGACGGATCCAATGAATCGCCTGACAAAAAAATAAAACAAAAAATGTTGGGGGTGTCAATGTCCCTTTAAATCACCTAACGAAAAATTGTAAAACATTTTGAGGGGTGTCAGTGTCCCTTTAGGTGTGCACCCATATTTGCTTTGATACCTGCTTAAGTAAAGAGGATATTTTGAGAATGCACATGTGAATGTCAAGTAAACGCAGGTACCATAAGGTTGCTTTTCCTGTAATAGTCAAGGTTTGTCTGTGGCATTTCATTATTATACACCTTCAATTACAGGACAAGGTAGGTCAATTCTTGAAGCAAGCCAAAGGACTACTGAAGAGCGTTGATGATGAATGGTGCTCTGCGAGTCTCCACATTTTCATTGATGGCCTAGAAGGTTATCTTCGTGGCATTGACACAATGGGGTAAGCTTGTCTTGTTCACAGCCTGTGCCAGCCGTTTATGTTGTAAATGTTTGCTGTTGCTGTTTTAGGTACCTTTATCCCATCAGCTTCATTGAGGGCATCCACGTCGACCTTTCACTGACCATCGACTACATGGTGTTTAAGACGGCGGACGATTATAGGAAGCTGATCTCGAGGTACAACAAGCTTCCGAAACAGGTTAGCTAACCTCCTTCCCTGAAATGTTACCTTTTTGTTTCAAAGCTTTACTCACGCGTTAATAAATTGTTAAAACTTGACATCCCTTTTCAAGCAGTTTGCATCCCAGGGTAGCATAATCATATAAATTGGGCTGGAAAACAAAATATGCAGATGGGCAAGGAATTGCAAAAAATTTTTGAAGCCTGACTCATTGTTTTTCAACTTGTATGTGTTAACTTGTTGCTGAAATTGCAAAATAGATATAGCTGGGAAATGTTAATCCATGGAGTTAAAAAGTTTTATAGGAAATTAATGTTTATTTCAAAATTGTACAAATATATGTAAGATAGGCCTCATATTTATTGCTGGAAGTGATAGAATCTATCTATTGCAGCTTGAGGAAGTGATGGAGCTCATGAGGGAAGGCCTCAAGCAGAAACGTACGCTTCATGCAGTTTCCTTGGTACGTGGGTTTGGATTGTCTTTAGTGATAGAACAACTACTGTAACATCCTGAGAGGTAGCCCACCTAAAATCGATAGCAAATCGGATGAAAATAAGGGGTGGGCTATCTTTTGGTGTGCCAAAAAAGGTGAAAGAATGCTAGTTTTATATTTTGTGACCATTGAAACTTGTGATTGCAGGAAGGGGTGAACTAAAGATGGCTGTCCTTCCCAGTCAGTAATGTTTGTTTATATCCTGCCATAGTTAAAGGGGCCCTGCAAGGACTTCTTTACTGGTTTTTAATTTGCACCGAACCTGAGTGCACTGAACGTAATAACTTAATAAAATTTGACTTTTCTCGAATTTCGCTTTATTTTAAACGTTATAGCAAATTAAAATTACAAGAACAAGCAAAACATAATCTCCTTCATGATGCCCTTGGTCGCTTGAGTGGCCGTGAAATAGAGGAGGGGTTAGTGAGCTCAGCGAGCGCTCACAGCTGCCGCACTCCGTGTCGGCGACTCGAGAGGGCGCCACTAAAGCACGTCCTGGATAGGCTGTATGAAGCGGGCAGCCAGGGTGGCTCACATTGCATTTTCTTTCTTTATTCTTTATTCATCATTGTCCTGCAGCGCCATCAGGCATTATCGCAGGGGGCGAATAAACTCTGAAAAAACATTTCTGAATTCGCGGCACACACAATCGCACTGGGCAAGGCATTCCACTCCTTAATTGTTTTAACAAAAAAAGAATTTTTGCCCAATTCCGTCCTGGTGCGGTATTCTCTAATTTTATGAATGTGGTCTTTTCTTTTTGAGATATAATTTGGTGGTAATAAGTAAAATGAGCTATTAATGCCAGTTTTATTGTTATAGATGTTGTATAAAAACTTCAAGCGCAAATTTCTTCGTCTTAATGCCAATGTAGACCATCCCAGTTCTTTTATCATGTCGGTTACACTCTCAAAGCGGCCGTACCGCACCAAAACGAAACGAGCGGCACAACTCTGAATTCTTTCTAAAGCAACAATGTGGTTTTGCTGAGAAGGATCCCAAACGGTGCAGGCGTACTCTAGCACTGGGCGCACATAAGATAGATAGGCGAGCTCTTTGATAGATTTAGTTGATTTTCTTAAATTTCGTTTTAAAAATCCAAGCGCTCTGCCAGCCCTCATAACAACGTCGTTAATGTGTGCGTTCCAAGTGCAGTCAGCTGACAGAGTGACGCCAAGATATTTAACTGTTTGCTGTTTTGTTACAGTTTCATTATTCAGTAATTGGTAACATGTTTCAACTTTTGTTTTGGTTTTTCGGGTAAAACTAACATGGGCACATTTTTTAACGTTTAACTCCATCTTCCCATTTTTACACCACTTCGCGATGAAACAGTAATTCGGCATGACACTTCATTGGCCACAAACAACAGAAATACGGGGTAAAGATCAGTTCCGAACAACAACCACTTCGCACTGCCATACCGCCAAACGGCGAAACCGCTAGCCGAACCTTCTTGCCAAAGGCCTTCGGAACGCTCGGAACCGGTCGGATTCTCGAGCCCGTATACGACCGCAGCGCCGCCGCAAACATTCGGGACCTTTCTAGGCTCGCCGCTCATCGGTGCCTGATCGCACGACACCTTCCTAGTATGCATCGCGTGGTGGCGGGTATATCGGTGGGTCATTTCTTGTTTTCATACTTTATAAACTGCATTTGTTTCTTTTCTGATCTAAAATATTGTACAAAAAACTACTTCTATAAATAATTGAAACTGTTTGTGCCACTTATATTTTGTATTTCGATTAAAAAGAAACTTTTAGTGGCTCTGACCAGTAGTAAGCCCAGGACCAAAGACTTCACATTTGGCATGCTTTCGGCGCCGCGGGTCGCCTCCGTAGGTGGAGGAGGTTTCCGCGTCGTCCTGTTAAAATATGACACACTGATATTTAGTTACTCTCTCCATGTCCTTTGGCTTGCCTAAACCTTGAGGGACGTGGAAACCGCAAAAAAGGTAGACGCTTAAATATGATTGCAGGGCCCCTTTAAGTAACACCGTTTTCACTGAGCTCATCATCGGCCAGGGCCCTGCAATTACTAGAAATGGGCTATCTTTCGGTGTTTCAGAATACATAGCAAATCATGCCAAAAATAGGGGTGGGCTATCTTTCGGGGATGGGGCATCTCTCGGGATTTTACGGTACTATATTGCCTTGTCTTGGCAGAATTAATCAAATTGTTCTTGTAATTGATTTTCTTTTTTTCCAGAAAGGAGTACTGGAAAGATTAGCTGCCCTTCAGGTGTCTGCCAAGGATTCGGAATTCTTTGAACGTTTTAAAGAATTCCCTGCGGGTATTTCAGAGTCCGAGAGGTATGAACGTTTGTCCCAAGGCTCATGTCTTAAATCAAGGCTAATGTGAAGAAGCCAAAGCCGTATAAGTTTGGCAGATAGAAACATAGCAATTACAGCTTTTGTGAAAACTTTGGATGGAAAAATATATTCAGCAAGCAAGCTCGTCTGCTCTTACACAAAAGGTAGAATTATGTCAGATTGCCAAGCTCTGTTTAGAGGATGTAGTGGGTGAACACTGGCAGCAGCATCTGCAAGTCGTAGCAACGTCTGCCCTGCCTTTTGTATGGTTGTCAGAGATCCAACGTTTCTTTATGAACAAGGACTCTGCCTTTGAGAAAGGGGGGAGGAAATACTTCAAACAGTGCATTGTTTTTCCCAACTAACGATGACCAGACATACTACGACAAACAAAGAACTCACGGTCAAAATGTTTGCTGCCCACCAAAGAGAATGGCGTCTGCAGGGGCTATGCTTTGTTTCATGCATGATTCCTGCCTCTCACTTTTCTGTGCCTACGCTCTCTCATGTGTGGGAAAGACACATTTTGGTCGACTTGCTCAAAGTGTTCTTTAATTTATCTTAGAAGTTAGAAGAAATTGCCACTGAACAAGCTAGTACAGGAGCTGTTGCATGTTCATAATATTCCTGCAATGAGCGTTCAAATTCTAAAGGCCCGTTCACACTCTTGCGACCTCTTAAACCTGGGTTCCTTAAAACTTCTTAAACCAGAGAACACACTGGCGCCATCTATTGGGAAGCAGTGTAAACTCGACGGTCCGGCATATTTTTTTTTTATTTCTCGCGCATTATCCTTTTTTTCTTGGCTCGAAAAACTTTTATCAATGTTATAAACGAGCCTTTCTATGGGTATTACGCACATTTGACCTCGGAAATCCCGCAAAACCTTTGCTCTTGTGAAATGCAGTTCCAGAGTCACAGCATAGATGGCGCCACAATGCCAGTGTGTTCCCTCATTCTAAAAACATTCAAGAAGTTTTAAGAGATCTCGTCTCTCTCAGTCGTACTCGGTCGCAAGAGTGTGAACGGGCCTTAAATGTAAACAAAGTAAGGTATGGTCACTTATGCAAGCTTGAACGAATACTTGACATTTGGTTATGGTTATTGCACGCAAGTTTGGAATGGTCGAAGCATGCAAATCACTAGAACCAAGCATATCTTTAACACAGACATTATTTCTGGTCTACTTTGGGATTATTATAAAGTCAAGAAAGGGCAATATATACATTTGATTCATAGATTGCACAGATAGCTGTCCCAATCATTTCACCATGCAGACTGCCAAATGAGGGTAATCGCTCAATAAGCAATTGTCGGGAGGCTGGATTAGCAAGCATCGACCGAAGGTCATTTGAGCGTGCTTGACAATCCTCAGTGTGATTGGTTGTTATGGAAACTGAGCCGGCTTGAACTGTCTCCATGGTAATGCATTTGATCCTTCCTGACTGATGATGTGGAAAGAGGCTCAGGACAAAGCATGGTGTTACTCTGGCAGCTGCCATATGTGTGCAGTGGCTCTAATACAGGCAGGCACCTTTTGCATTAGTTTTGTAAACTTGCTCCTTTGTTTGGATGTCCTAATTTTTGCTTTGCTTTTGCTGTGAGGCATTTATTACCTTTTACTATCTCATTAATTTGCTAGGAGCATTCAGCTTGCACAAGTTTCTTTATTTCATTTGCAGGAAGATGTTAATGCAAGATGCAGAGAGGGCAATTGAACGCTCGGTGCTCCCAGCATTTGAGAAACTTCGGAAATTCCTTAAGCAGGTACTATTTGAAGTTTACGAATAAATTTTATTACTGTGTTCGATTTGCTTCCTTTCGGAAGGGTTTGGCAAAATATTACATGTTTTTCTTTTACACTGTCTGCAATGATTATCATCTTACCGTCCCATAGGAATATTGGCTGCACCTCAGGCCAGAGATAGCAGCCACTTCCTTACCCGGTGGCGATGCATACTACCGAGAATGCTTGCGGTATCATCTGGAGTTGCCCCTGACTGCACAAGAAGTTCACGACATGGGGCTTAAGGAAGTCGAACGGATATCTACTGGCATGAAAGAGGTCAGTGCATTGTCGACTCTTGTGTAAACAACAGGAAGGCAGGGGGTTGCACCTGATGCATAAATTAGTCACGGTATAGAGGCTCCGGAGAATAGACAGCAGTGTGACTGCACAGTCAGGCTATGCTCCGATTATGTACTAGCCTTTGTGCATGCATGAGTGGAAAGTTCTATCTTTTTTCTTCATCGCTTTCACCATGGTTGCTGTTAACAGTGTGTGCAGGCCATGCTGAGAGACAAGGAACTTCATGAACTGCATCTTCCATTGCCATAAAAGTGGCAACATTGCTATAAAGCAAGAGTGGAATTCGACTTACTTGTTCACATAGTACGATGGGAGCCGCACTTTGGATAGCTTTTCTCTCTTTGACAATTTCAACTCTGCAGCTGCATAGCTCAAGCCTATACCAGGATGGAAGAATATTTTCATGCAACAAGTTGCTGGACCTGCCTTGCTTCCTCATCAACCAGTGCAGTAGTGCTTTCTGCTTCTGGGCACATTTATCACACACTTTAGAAGACCGTTTTTTTCCCATTTGTGTTCTGCAATGTGAAACATATATTTTGAAGTTAGCGGTATTTTTTTCTGTTCAAAGACTATGTACAGTCTCCCACAATATGAAAGGCCCATTCTCCAAGGCAGTATATGTGGCAGTGTAATGCACATTCTCCAGAGGCACCTTATTTTTAAATGGAGCACAGAACAAAGGTTTCTTTATTTCCTCACCCCAAGCAATGTGGGACCTTTGAGCCTGGACAAAATCTAATATTGCACAGCTGCCTGAAACTTCTTCATTGAATGGATCTGTCATATTGTTGAAGACCGTACAGATTTATTCTGTAGCACAGTGGTTCTCAAACATCTATGTTTTAGGAAACCCTTGTGGATCGTCCTTTCTGCGATGAGGAGTGGGTGATTATAATAATGACAAAACAAACCAATACAGCTAGTTGCTACACTAAACTCGACTTGTTTATTTGTCAAATACATAAATATCACACAAATATGTGTTTCTTCAAAGTATATCAAACGAAAAATGGTGTTATTGCTTGGCTTGGCTGATGAGCGAGTGGCTATGCAAACCCTAAAACTGCCTTTGAGAATTACTGCCATAGCAGGTGATACTACTTGATGAGGTGGCAATGAGAGAAGGAAGATTACCACATAATACCATAATGGCAAATTTCACATGTGTTTTAAAGGGAGTAAATCTTGTTGGCTATGCTGCCACTGATCACTTCTGTATAAGAGCTAGCAAACAAGAACAACTAAAACACAAATGATAATGATAACCGGAGTTCTTAATAATATTTATAAGATAATATATTTATTTGCACCAAATGAACTGGATGGCGTGCCAGGTTGGGCAGAAAAGTTAAAACCCATATGCAGGTGCACCCATCATTATAAGCCTAACTTGTAACCTTAACAGTACTTTAAAAAAAGTATGGTCACATTGTCTTGCTATGAACCTCCCAATTAGTTCCGGCAAGATCCCAAACGCTACTTATGTATTTTTCTCTTTCTTTTTTTCTGCTATTCGCTTGTTGTTACTTTTGTCATTGACATCTATGCTTGAAGCAATTTTCTTTTGCCTCTTAGTAGAACTAAGCGCACATTCTGTCACCGTACCTCATTGCTTAGATTGTTTGCTAATCCGGATTCCAAATTGGTTTCATGAAGGAAGCATTGTTTCTTCACCAGGTTATACAAGCTCTTAACTTGAAGATGAGTCCCAAGGAGTTTTCGGAGTCTCTTCGCGCCAATGCATCTTTTCGTTGCAAGTCCAGTGTAAGTTTAGGGCTGCTTATTTTTGTTTAAACAAGTCCTGTAACTGTGTGTTTATGTAACGACAAACCTTAAACTCGCTTGCTTGTTGCCATTTTTTCCTCCTAACAGGAAGAAGTGGTAGAAGGTTACAAGCGTATCTTGAACCAAGACATTCAACCCAAACTGCTGGAAATTTTTCCAACAGTTCCAAAGTCAAAACTTCGGTGAGCTGATTTGTATATTGTTGAAGCATTTTAAATGCAACCACACTTTTTGGATGCACTTGTATTGTGCCTATGCTGTTCAACGCAGATGAATGCACGGTCAGTTTGTCGCAATGTGCTGTTAATTTGAACAGTTGAGCAGTTTTTAGGCTTCATTTTTTGTGCACATAATATTAGTATCTATAAACGTCTCGTTTTGACTTTGTTGCTTGTTACATCACGTATCAGTTCTTGTTTCTATTTGTAGGATAGTCCGCCCACAAAATGGCAATCGAGAAAAACAAAGAGGATAGAGAAAAATTCACGGAGAAAACCGATTGAGCTTTAATGCCACATCTCTTTCAACTATGTGTTCTGGCTGTACATACATATATAAACATATTGGACCTTCACAAGGTCGCTGCATACTCAATGTGGGCAGGTTTAATAAACTTGTAACACATAATGGGTATGGAAATGAAATTTTAGCGCCTATTTCTTTGTGTAGACTTGGTGTCTTGAGTGACAGCAGCTCACAAACACCAGTCTTTCATGTGTAAAAGTAAGAAAAGTATTTTTAAAACTAATAAAATGATTTCCCAACATTTCGTAGCTTCGTTGAGATGTCTGACATCACAGGCCCATCAGTAGCAACCTACGGCGCGGCGTTTCCGATGGAGGTGCCTGGGAACGAGCGGCGCCTGGCACACCTCTCGGTTCTAGTGCACCATACCTTGGGTATTCTTACTTGGCAGGATTGTAACGCATTTGTGATAAAGCTGGTGCCAACTAGCGACAACAATCGTAATTACGGTACCTTCGGCCGTTCACGGGCCCGTGACGTTGCAAGCGTGACGTCACGCGCAAATATCGCCACAATCTGTCGGTTGGTATGAAAAATATAGCCTTCCGCTGAAAATACAAGCATGTGATTATCATTTACGGACATCATGGATCATATTTCACACCATTTAAAGGTGTTCTGGTAATATACCAAGTTTCGATTCTGCTCTGCACCCCTTTAAAACGGGAGTTGTGATTTGGCCCATTTTGACATGTAACCATCTGTGTGGAAGTTGTAAGGATAATGGTAAACCCAACAGCCTCCCAAAAAGAAGAATAACAAATTGCGCGCACAAATGCCACGGGCACACCCACATTTGCCGTTCACAGCAGTCATATAAGATCTTTTTGGTGGCCAAGCGATAATCACTGACTAAAAGCAACCCTTTCCCGAGCAGACGCTTGCCGACTGATTTTTCAGGCCGGTAATCTGGGTCTCTCCGGCTGAGCCATTCAGTGTCGTGTTCATTAAAGCATGACATTCTTCTTAACGGAACCCCCCAGTCCCAAAACTTTGTACGTCCGTCGGTATTTTCCCCTGAATCTAGCAAGGAAATTGATGTCATGTGACGTATGCATCAACTGAGTTTCTCCACTAAATTTAGCAGCAAAATTGATGTTTTGTGACCTAAGAACCAATTCAGTTTCCCCGCCATGTTTTGCACCAAAATTGATGTTGCATGACCCACACCAAGTTTCCCTGCTAAATTTAGTGGGGAAATTTACGTTGCATGGTCTACAGACCAATTCAGTTTCTCTGCTAAATATGGTGGGAAAATTGAAAGTCACGTCACCTAAACACCAGTCCAGTTTTCCCCTTTAAATTTAGCGGGGGAAATTGAGATTCACGTGACCTGATATCATATGACTTGTACTACAACAGTTCACTTTCTCTGCTAAACTTAGCGGGGAAATATATGTCACGTGACACGCCAGTTCCCTTTCCTCATCTCTCCTCCCTTCCTAGGGCATACTTCCCAACTGCCTCCCTTTTCCTTGCTCCCCCTCCCTCTCCACCTATCTCTCTCTCCCTCCACCTTCTCCCTTCCTCGCTCCTGCCGTCCCTCCCCCATTTTCCTACAGTCTCCTTCCCTCCCTCCACTCTCCCCCTCCCTGGTCTGGCCAATTCGCGACTCCAGCGACCTATACGGGTTGCCACCACCGAACAAACAAGGCGGCTGGGAACAGGTCGCGTCGGCTCAGCTGGGCCGGCTGAACAGGTGGCGCATTCAATTTAACAGTTTTTTTTTTGTTTAATGCCCTATTTTATAAGTATTTTAACCGGGACAGTATAAGTGTAGTCCCTGCACATAAACTTGCAAAGCATAGTTTTGTTTTCCCAATGCCTTTTTTTTTTCTTTTGTGTCAAACTTTTGTGTCGGAGAGTTCGTTCAAAACTGCAACTATGGGCTCCAGAGAGACGGTAATAAACTCTAATCAGTTTTGATCAGCTAAGGAAAGTGGCAATCACTACAGAATTGTTCCACTGAGAGTAATCTTCAGCTAACTCGCATGCCGCGACCATGTGACTTATCTGTCCGCAAAATCGAGCTTTTGATCCGCGTTTAAGAAACAGCTCCAGTCGTCTGGTCGGTCAACAACACAGGCTGCATGAAAATTACGAAAATTAAGCAAGCGCTTCATGAGCCAAGAAGCATGTTAACCCGCTGGCACCCCGCTAAGCAGCTGATACTCGTATTTTAATTCAGGTTTTAGTAGCAATCAAAAAGTCATTTTTTTTAATATGTGGGTTATGTATTATAATGCATACTATGTCCCACTAAAGCGATATTAGTATATTCTTCAGGTTGAAATATGAGCTTAGTTAACTAGCTATTAGGTGAACTACTGAACCAAAGTATATTTGACAGACGGAGAGATACTACTTAAACTCAGCCAAATGGTTCTAGCCGGCAGCACGGTGAAGAATGCGGAATAACTGAAGAGAACCTCATTGGAGGTTCACGCAGAACCCCTCTGCATTGAACTTGACTTCAAATCCTGAACGGAGAAATTGAGTATTTTTTGTGGCCGGTAAACCTGGGCAATGTAGACGTATATTGCTGCTGGCTTCAATGGGGGTATAATATAAATATTGGAGGCACAATAGACCATTATGTTGTGACAGCTTCTAACCTTTTGAAAGCAGACAATTTCCCCATTAATCGTATGCAGCGAGCAGGTTTTCCGGAATCAAGTAATTGCGAAATGAGCCCAGCTCCTTCGCCTTCTTCGGTGTGGTCTAGAGGCTTTTTCGGCGAAAAGCAGCCAAGATGAATAGCCAACGCACCGACCGGAGTGGGTGGCTCAATCTTCAAGCTAATCAAACACAACCATACTCAAGAAAAGCAGCTATCGAACCTTCCCATTCACTTGACTGCAATATTGGTGTTCTCTCCAGTGAAACACATTGTCTGTTGACCTCAGTTCACTGTTCTACGTCCCTATAAAGAAACACTTATCAGTTACCAAGTATTCATCACTTTGAATGTGATTCGAGACAGACAAGAAATCAGAATGTTTTTCCGTGATTCTTTCCCATCCAAGAAATCGAAAGCGTGCGACCGTGTGTTATGGAGTAAACGGGCTTTCAAACTCGTGATGGAAGGAGACAATCTACTGAGGTTTCACCACACTAATGAATACTCAGGCAAACTTAAGAAATATTCTGACCTTCGTCAAATTACATTGTTCGCCACCACACCGACAATACGTGTCCGCGAAAGCCGCCAAAGATGCAGAAAGGCGCAAAGTGACCTGTTCCGGCTGGTTCCTGGTTTTCCCGCTTGGTGCCGTCCGTTTTGTTGAAGTCGCGAATACAGCTTTCCTAAAATTGACAAAAATATAGGTCCTTCACTCCCGAAACGACTGTTAGATTTCACGCATTATAGGACTTTCAAGATGAAGGTCACCGCCAATTTTTTTTTTCATTCAGCATTTTGCTTTGTGGGAAATACAGCCAATGATAGCTGCCATGGAGTTTTCTGACAGAGGCTCTGATCATCGCTATTGAAGAGTACCCATTTCTCAATAATGAGCAAGCCTCCGATTTCAAGGAGTGCCGAGAAAGGTGCCTGGTGTGGCAGCAAATCGGCGACACTTTCAGCTTGACAGGTACTGCTCACGCTCGAACGAATGCCTGTTGATGTAGTGGTCATGCTTACACTTTCAAACGATCCATGTCAATATCGCTAGAAGGTTTTCTCAAAAGGTGCGAGATAAAGTGGCACAACAGAGACAAATTCGTAGCTGGGCAGAAATGGGTATGAAAAAAACAGCTAAACACAAACTTGTGTTGCGGTGGGAAGGGAAGCATTGACAATGGCTTCCAGGTTATCTCGTTTGGAGTAAGAGGTTTGGGAAAGTGACTGATCAATCACGCGCTTAGGTGCAACATTTGGTGGTTGTTGACACGGTGTCACCAGCCAGTTGTGCGTCTGCTGCGACTCTCAAGTGTAAACGCAGCCCGAGCTTTTGTTTTCGAGCACCGTTGGATTTTCCTCATTTTTCGTCTAGTGTACAAACTGGCCGAATCCTCTACCTCGTTACACTAACAAATAATTCTGCTTCTAAAGAGGTTGTGGGAACTGTCATCTAGGGCTTGCACTGCTCATGCTGCACACACTTTAAACCGGAATCGCTTTCAGGGTGCAACTTCAGCCCGCGTCCAAGTCCAGTGGGCCAGTCGCCATGTACATTCTGGGAACCCCCGACGGCTCCCGCCCCGGAACCTTCTACGTCAATGCCAATGACCTGTCTCGATCGTAAGTCACCCTTTCCGACTGTGGGGCTACGGTGGCTCGAATGCGTCTGACTTTTGTTTGGCACGCCATACGCCCGTGCACCCAAAACGGTCCCGAAGTGGCAACAAGTGGCGTCGCGAAAGCTGGGGCGTCACGCCGTCAGATGTCGCAATCCTGGCAGTTATTCCTAGAAGTTCCAGCAAAAAGTATGAGCAAAGGCAAGTGTCGTTGTTGCTGACACATCCTTACTCTTGGCCGCTAAAGCTTCTGGGGGCCATCAAGCCGGAGAGCGACCTGTGGCGGAGCAGGCGTCCATTGCACCCCTCTCCGCTCCTGTGCCACTGCCGAAATTGTGGCATGGCAACAGCGTGACACTCCTGCGACATCATGGGTTGGAAATCGAGGGACCACGTTTGGGGATATGATATCATTCCAGTTGGTGGCACATTCCAGGCACCGTAGGGAGGGTTCACTATTCACGCCGTCAGGAAGGATGTGCTGCGGGGTCACAACATTAAGCCATTTTTCAGGCCCAGCTTTGTGATGCCGGCCCTGGCACTCCACGAAGGCAATCCAGGACATCATTTGCAGGTGCGTAAGCGTCTTAAAAATGGCCTCAATGGCTCATCCTGCAAGACATACTCTCACCGCGCACCGATGCTCTGAGGAGCCGTTTTACAAAGCCGACTCAGTTTTGTGTTTGTGCAAAGGTTTCCTGTGTTCGGCAGCTGCTTTTAACGCTTCTGCAAAACCCTGTATTTTCGCGACCCCAATTTCGCACTAATTAGGTAGAGGTGTCATGCTTGCCACCAATAAATTGCGTGCACTCTGAAGGTTTGTCTCTTCATGCAACGAAATTATTTGCAAGCCTTTAACATCGGCAAATTTTTCGATTTGTGCCATTGGAGAAAATAGGGGCTCACAAGCATTAAGGTTTTCGCAGTATTTGCCTTGCTCATTCTATGCTTATTTTACCAAGGTCAAATCTGCATCTTTCAGTGCCTAGCTTGTGGGTTCAATTTTGGAGCATAAATAGGGTTAAAATATTGCAGAAGCAGAATGTGAGAATTGTATCACATTGGCTCATATCTAGTGTAGCCATTTTATGAACAAAGCTTGCATGTCAATTGCTTCCACAACATTCATTGATAATACTAATAATAATGTTGAGTGTATGTTTATAAATCCGGAAGTTAGTCAGCCTGAATGGACATCTGGTGTCACAGCTGTAGATAAGAAATTGATCAAGTGCGCAGTACAGTCGCTAGCCTGGGCTTTAACGTGCATCATGCAGTAGTGATGCACGACGGCACGCCAGTACAATGCCAGTCCAGATCAAAACGGGCAAAGGTGGGGATTGAACTCAGGATCCCTGGGTTCTGCAGCGCGAGCTTTCGCTCCACGTGCTCCATGCAGGTGTCCGCCAGCCCACTCAGCCACCGATCCCCCCCCAATTGATTGATTGAAAATGTGTCTTTTGCATGAAAATGAGGATCCTCATCTATGAGTGGTGTGCCCTAAGACGAGGATACCACAGCATGTGGAGAACTAATCATTGCAACTTACAGATAGCATGTTGTCATTGAACAAAACTTGTGCTGGGATTCTGAGCGTATGATATGGGCGTCCTCGGAATTCCAGCAAAAAGGACATATACTTTGGTGTCCACAATAATATCAACTGCCTAGTACTACCATCAAAGATATTGGACTAACATGATAATTGCCAAACAGCTGACCAGTTTTCCAGTGGTCATTTTTGCCATCAATCTGCCAAAATAGTCTCGAGAAAGGTTACATCATAAAGCTTCTATGTTTTTCCGGAATATGCCGAAATCAAACACCTTACTTGTCATGGTAGATTAAGTCATTGCTGCATCGAGCACTTTTCGCAGCGCTTAACTCCTGGTTTTGGCTAACACGATTGCTTATCATCCACAAGCCTAATTACTTGCTTTAACAACAGCATATGTCATGCAATTCCTCTAGTCTTTTATAATTTTTGTTTTCTGCCCATACCTATTAATTTAACTTTCATGATCTGTAAGGCGTAAGTCAAGGCCGCTAAAGTGTATCCTTTGTGACCCCTTCTCTTAGGGCGCTAGACCTAGCAAATTCAAGACTGTCGCAAATTTTCTAGTCATTGGCTAACTTTGCCATTCAGGCACCTGTAGGCGGTGCCAAAAAGCAATTTTGTGTTAAACGAGCCCGGCAGACCCCAAAAAACTTTTGTCTGTGTCTTCTTTGCTTTACTCTCCCTCTCTCGGTTCTTGCGCACAACGAAAGGGCTCATATGCCATGGAACTGCCCGGCATGCCGTCGTTTCGGAGCCAAATCGAGGACCGGCGCTATAACGACGGACCTGTCCACTTCCCTATTCACACTGCGTACGTGGAGGTAAGCGGGTCAGGGGTTCCGTGGGGTATTTGTATGCGTCAATTTGGAAGCTTTTGATGATGTTTTCTTTTCCTCGCAGGGCTGGGGGTTGTACAGCGAGTTCCTCGGATACGAACTAGGTGTCTACAAAACCCTCTATGACAGGTGAGAGTGTTTGCTTCCATCGCATGTTTTCGTTAAGGCGTGTTCTCTGATGTGGTTGATCGCAGCAACTGGGGAGCCTAGTATTCAAATGGTGGATCCAGCAGGCAAATGTTTAGAAACTTTTCTTTTGCAGATCCTTAGCCAGTTTCGTTTGTGGAGTCAGAATCCGTGCAAAGCACCGGTCTGCTAGCAGTTTCCTCAAAGCTCCTATAATTTTCTGGCCCTATTTTTATCTGACGTGGTGACTGACTGCCATAGTCATCTCATCAAAAGAACAGATGAATGAAAACGACCCCAGCAACCCAGCTGCTCAATGTAACTGCCTTGCTTAGCTTGTGCTCAAAGTAGTTTACTCACATTTACGAAACATGCAACAGGTGTTAGTTTTCTTTAACATGCATTGACTGGTGTTTTACAAAAGAAGTATGTACTTAGTATTTGACTCCAGCAGTTCTTTCTTTCTCGCTTATGTTTTTTCTCCCAAATGGAAATGCACATCTTTATGATGTGCCGAATGTCATTGAGAAGTCGCTTTAGAAACAAATGATAATTGTTTTATGTAGTTGGGCTTACTGGAGGCAGAACAGGAGGTGCATCATAAGTGAGGTAATAGTAACATCTTAGCAGCATCAAAATTGGGAAAAAGGAAAGATTTTGCATCCAATAAGGTTAGCTTTTTGCAGCGTCTGTAATGTCCTCGGAACATCAGAACGGCCGGATGTCACAAAACACAGGAGGATAAGCCAGCGTCTTGTTAGCAACTGCTGTTTCATGATCCGTTTCACCCTTAGTTCTGTAAAATATGCTTGAAATTAATTTACTTACCTGTCATTGTCTCTAAAGGTTTGGTCACCTGTCCCAGGAGATGTTGCGTGCCTGCCGGTTAGTTGTAGACACTGGAATGCATGCCCTTGGGTGAGTGCATACAAGCTTGAGATTCTACAGTTGCTCTCCTCTAGGGGTGGACTACCGAACGGCCCAAGTTCCAAGTTTTGAAACGCTATGATGTTGCTTTTGTCTCACAAGGTGGTCAAGGGAAAAGGCCATCAACTACTTGCTGGAACATACCTCGTCCAGTCAAGGAGAAATCGAGAGCGAGATTGACCGGTACATTACCTGGCCTGGACAGGTGAGTCGACACTCAAATTCAAGCTTTTTCAAGCTTTTTATTTCTTTCTGTTTGGAGAGGAGAGGCAGCGAAGAAAAAAGCAACTGAGGTGTTGCTCGACAAGCCTCCCCCTCCCCCATAGCAGCAGAGAAAACAACACGAATATACACTGTATTTGTAATAATACACACAATGCACAAAGATATAAGGTAATATACATGGGTGTTATAGGAAGAGAATGAAACAATCAGTTATTCCAGATTTTGTTTCTTTTGCAACAGCCATGGAAAACTCGTTAACAAGCATTGCATGCTCATTTTTTTTTTTTCTGGTTTCACTCAATACTTTTATGTTAGTTGAGTCAGAGGATTAAAAAAAAAAAACAGGGCACTCCACATGTCGACATCTGATTACCACAGCTGGTTTTGGAGTTTGGCACTTACCACGTGTCTATGCAGCAATGTTGTTGTTTCACATCGCTAGACGCGAGTGGTGTTTGCAGCTCTAACCGCATGCAACAATTTCAATGTTTTGTTAAATAATTGTGGGAGTGTGTGTCTCCACTCTTTTGAAGTAAAGAACAAAAAAACGTTTTTGCCTGGATGTCCTACTTTTTATTTTTAAAAAACGACAAAGATTGAGGTTTTTAGCACCTTTCAACTCCTTCACAATCTTCCGGGTCACGTGCGCTGTGACATGAAAGGGGGACGCGCGAAGTTCCGGTGAAGCTCTCTCTCTCTAGCGCCATCAATGAGCAGCAAGAACTCACCCACTCGCAACCACATGCTTGCACCGCACGATCAACATGGTGAAGAAAAGAGAAAAGTGCCAACGTGCTCATCCAGGTCCGGCCACCCCGTTTATCCCCGTCCAGCTTCTGGAGGCTCCTCGCGGTAGCAGATAGAGCTGATGGTTTTGTTGACCTCGGATAGATGGCACCACTAAAACTCCATACAATAAAAGTTTTGTTGATGATAACAGGTTTTTGATGCACTTATATTTATGTTGGAACGACAAGATTTATAAAAAAATTGCCTTTTATCGAGCAGGTAGTTGCACAACTTGCTATTTTTTTTTAGAAGTCCCCCTTTGACATCACGCCGCGTGGTTCTCGTGGCCGTCGCTCGCGGCTGCAGATTGGAAAATATTCTAATTTTTGCCTCGTGGTTACGCGGCAAAATCGCAATGTTTCGAAGGAAGGAGATGTGTTTTCTGCCCTTTGTAACAAGATAAACAATGTAAAAAGTAGAAGATGCAAATTATTTTAACATTAAAATTGCTTCACAACTCCTTTAGAGTCCCCATTCCTCTCTATGTGCCATGGATGCAGACTCCTCGTTCGGTGCCGGTGACTGACGGCGCTTCATTTGTAATTGTGAATGCCATCAACTTCAGCAATTTCTAAACATGCATTTGGGAGCTTTGCCTAAGACTGAAAATAATTTAAATAAGAAGCACATTTAAAATTAAGAAACAATTTTTTTGGGTGTAAAGGTATTGACCACACCGAATGTCGGGTAGCAAGTTTTAAGTATCAATTAGCAATCTAATTACAAGAAATCTACTAATTCACTTATATATAGAGCCAGCCCTTTTGATGCATTTTCTGGGGATTCGCAGTAAAACAATGATCCTGGAAAATAACAGCTGATCATCCTTTCAGGGCCCCAAAAATGGGACTGCAGCAGCTTATTTCAGAGTTTCAAGGTGTTGCAGAACTGCCATTATTAATAAAATGTAAATCAACTTTTTTTTTGCTGTTTCTAAAAGTTGGGGTTTTTTCTATAATCTCAACTAGAAGAGTGTTGACCTACAAGAGTCAGCAAACTTTCCGAACACATTAGCTTAAACCTGAATGCACTCTCACATCTGCTGTTGATGCTAGCACAACTGGTGTGAAGCGGTGAAGCTGAGCACACGCATTGAAGCAAAAAACGGTGGTGCTCAGCGAACCTGTGCACTGCAAGCATACCGCGCGCTGTGCTCGATTACAAACTCCGGACTTCACACGAATAGAAACTGGCAAAACCAGGAAAACTGAATGTAACATAAGCACAAGCCGGAAAAAGAGATGAAAATATGATTGAACGATTGCAAAAACAGCCTGGATCCCTTTCAACCTAATCCCAGGTTATGCCCCCTCGTGCAAGAAACACAGTGCAGAGAGAGAAAGAAATGAAAAAGAAGGGGAACACGTCAAGAGAAAGAGAGCAGCCACGGCCGGGAGACTTGACGCATCAGGTTTGGGATGTTAGAGCCACGAAGGCAAGCACAACCAGCACACAATTGGTACAGATACCCCCAAGGACTTCAACAGGACCGGCGTTTGTAAACAGAACAGCCTGAAAAACACATCAACCGAGATGTATCAAGAAGATTCTACAACTTCCCCTGGCTGGCATGTTGCAATCAGATTCCTTACCAGATGCCTAAATAGTTTATAGCAGGTTGGCATGTGCAAGTAGTGGATTTTGAGTTGAAAGCGAATTCGGAGAGAATAGTGGTTTTGGTAGACTTTTTTCTAATCAAATATTGAATAGTTCCTCTAAGCCTTTTACTACCGTGCACTATGCTTAAATGAAAATTCAGCTGAACTTATGAAGGTTCTTCCCAACATTCCACTTGTCCACCTCACTACTCAGTTCATTTTAATATAACCATATGTTTATGAACTGTGGCATGTAAATGACAAATTTGTCACAGCTATCCTAATCAACATAATGTACAAATCTACTTACTATATGAAAATATTTCTTACTTCAATATTAAATTTGTCCAAAGAAAAAGCATAAATGATGGATGCAGGTTGTCACGACAGTGCTACCTAAACATATAGTTTGATATAAGCTTGCATAATCGTAGCAAATTAGCCCAGTTGAGTGCGCTCCTCACCGAGCACCTGTGAACTGCGGGGAAGCAATACCCGCGAGCTTCGCGCATATTGCTTCCTTGCAGTGCACAGGTGCTCAGTAAGAAGCGCACTCAATGAGCCCAATGAGCCACAATCAGCACTTAAGAAGTATGAATATGCAGTCTTTTTCAAAGCGAATATCAAAAAGTTTATTATTCTAAACTACTACTAAAAAATTTGAATATTTGCACAGCACTAATTCGTTTATTAATTTACCTTTGAAGGCCTCAAGGGGACATTACATGAGGGGGGGGAGGGGGGGGGTTAGGGGTTAGAAATACAGGGAAACATACATGTGGAACATTATACAAAAATAATGGCAGGTAATTGTTTTAATTCCGAAATTCAAATACTGCTTTGTGCGCTATTTAGTGATAAATTTAGGTAAGCTGCTAGGAGACTGCAGTACTGAAACTGAGGCTCCAACTAGTGACAGAAGTCCCACTCCAAAGTCAAATGAGCATCCGCCTCGGAAGTATGTGACAAGCCGTCGCGATCCAACCTGGCAGTAACAAGTTATTTGAGGGTCAAGTGGTCATAGCAAAGGCTTGACACACTTTGATGTTGCTTCAAACACAAAGCTTTTGCCACTTTTTTTCCTCACTTTTGGTATGGTGGATTTTAGACAGCTTAGCCTTGCTCCTGAATAGTGCCATGCAGAATATTTTGTTGTAAAATCTAGTGACTGTTCTAAGCTAGCCTGATTACATGCAGAAAATTTCTAGTTAGAATGGGCCAACTATGGCAAGTATTTAGAAAGTTAACTAGATAATTCTAACTAATTCACTACTTATCACTTTACACTTGTTTTCTGACATCCATTATGAACAACCATGCGTAAGGAATCATTTCTGTATCTCAAGAGCATTTTTATATGACTGTTTTCAGTACTGGATGAAGCACCCTGTTTAGTATTAGTGAAATATGACAGCATTTCCAGTGGCATCGGCGAAGGGGGTGCGACTGTCTCCCAAAAAATTTCTAATAAACCCTTCGGAGAGAGGGTAGGGAAATCTGCCCCATCTTTTGAACATTTTTGTCACCACTGAGCATTGCCAACATTCTCTGCATTTGCTGCTAGAGGCTAGTTCAATTCAAGCTGTCTAAGGGGGATGCTACTACTAGTAGATTGAAAGTCATACGAGTGTTCTTTTTAGCTTGCTGCTAGTGCCCCCTTCCATTTCATGAAAATTTAATATTTTTGTGGCAACCATCTTGAATGTTATTGATTTTGATTGGGTAATCTTTAAATTTGGAGTTGGTGCCTGCTTGTATTTAATGGTAGTTAACTTTGTTTTAACCAGAGACACGAGCATAGAACGCTTTTAGATAGCTTGGTATTCATTAGTAGAGCTTGTCATAAAAGCTGTTTTTGTAACTAGGTCTGTGCAACTGCCCCAGTTTTTTTCTAATATCCAGCAAGTTTCGATCTTCAGTGTTGTGACTTTGTTTCTTTATTGTTGTGTGCATCTAGGCCTGTGCCTACAAAGTGGGAGAGCTTAAGATAAGGCAACTACGAGAGAAAGCCAAGCAGGACCTAGGCAAGTGAATCAATTCTCAAGTACTGTCGAGACTGATTATAACGAAGTCAACGGTAATCGGAAATCACTTCGCTATATCCTCTATTTCGTTATAACCGAACGAAGTGCAAAAGGGAATGGGAAATCATTATCACTTTGCTGTAGCCGCTATTTCGTTATAACCGACTTTGTTATAACCGGTCTCAACAGTATTTGCGTTCTGCTAAACTTCATTGTCATATATTCACTCATAATGTTTTGTTTTTCAGGCTCCAAATATGACGACAGAAAGTTTCACAAGGTCATCCTGGATAATCCGGGTCCCCTAACCTTTCTTGAGAAGAAGGTTGATGAATACATTAGAGAGACAGGGAAACTGTGATTTGGGGAATGGGCTGGAAATTGTATGGCATGGAACTGCATTTTTAACAATCGTCATGGGTTGTTTCCGCCAGTTAATCTCCAGCTCTTTTGGAGCAGTACTTCACAAATTATGTTGCATCAAAGTCGAGGTAAAGTAACTGGGCAAGTCTTTTTGGGGTGGTAGTTTCTTTTATACCGTAATATCCCGAGTCATCGCCCATCCCCGAGCCATCGCCCACCCTATTTTTTGGGCCAATATCGATTTCCGAAAAAACACCGAGTCATCGCCCACCCCTTCAAATACCGCAGCGCGGACTCCGCGATCCACGAACACTCATCCTACCCGAATGACGCGGCCGCGGACCTTACAGTTGGAGGACGTCCGTGACAAAGTAAAACGAAGGAGGGAAAGACACTTCTTTTTGTTTACGCATTTCCTCCGTGAGCGACCCTGAACTGATAGTGCATCCGTGCAAAAAGAAAACGATAGAGATAACAAAATAAGAGTTTGTTAATGTAACCGCGGAGTGTTAGGTTAAAGTCTGTCTCCGCCGAAGTAAGGTCACCGCGAACCCGCTCCTTCTTCCCGCCCGTCGCGACCGCGGTTGTGCAATATTTTAGGCAAAGCCAACGCGTAAATAAAGCTTTGCTGGAACGCCCTACACAGACGTTTGCAGAGCGTCCCAACCGTGCATTGATAGCCCGCCGTGCACGGACGCACGTATGTACGCACCAAACAAGAAAGTTGCGCAAGAGCTTGCGATTGACAAGGCGCCCGACTTGGCCCGACGCCAAAGTATTTGCCAACGCGACCGCCGGCTTTCCCGCTTTCCCAGCATTGCTCTTGGTCGCTTCTTTGGTCCGCTAGCTCGCTCGCTCGCTCGCTCGCTCGTTGCGCCTGGTCGGTTTTTTCTATTTTCTCGTAGACTTTACTTTCTTTTTTTTTTTTACTAACTAGGAGAACGTAGTGGTGACATTCTTTCACGGAACAAATAATAATAATAATAATAATATTCTTTATTCAGACAAGTGTCTAGGAGGATGGGGCAAAAGGCGATTTAAATCGCCTGACAGGGCTCCATCCCCCTGTACAGTCAGCAGCACAACGTACAGAAACATAGGAACAAAAACAATCAAATACTAATAGTGGGATTACACTAAGATACATTGATATAACAAAAGAAATGAGGCCAGAAACTTTAATAAATCATGTTATACCTGAAAGGTACGTTTTCAGTGTTCGTTTAAATGTGTATATTGTATTGGAATTATTTATCATGGACAGTATTTCAGGGTGCAGATCGGCGGTGTTCCTAGCGCGTATGCAGGCAACGGACTTCGCTATAGTAAAATATTCTTTCGTGAGCATTTTTTTCTATAAAACAAGGAAACTAAATTGAGTTTTGAGTTTGATGTATCTCTTGTGCATCAGCGCTAGATACGCAGAGAAGAATAGGCGGTTTTTTCCGCTTTTTTTCAAGTGTTTGTGCTCACCCACCGAGACATGGCCCACCCCACTTTTTTAATGAATTTCAGGCGGTAGGGGGGTGGGCGATGACTCGGGATATTACGGTAGTCATTTGCTGGGCTGCCAAAAAGATGGTCAATTTTATACGGTTTGGAGACATTTATTTTGTTTTACTTGCTTATTCAAGTTTCTGGTCATGATTCATAAACCAGTCTTTTTTTTCCTATTGATGTTGACTCATTTAATTGTCACATACGTGCTCTTGCGGCACGTATAACTTGTAGTTTGAAGCGGGCCAAGTTGTTTTCTTCACAGTGAGCCTCGCAACGAAAACTTCAAAGAGCCCGACAATCGCAGAAGTGGAGAGACCAATACAGAACAGCAAGAGTGGACCTTGTAGGTGACCGACGTTGACCGGGTAAAACCGCTTTTCTTCGTGGTGACTCCGCTCGCGTGCCAGGAGTATTGTGTGCTTCAGCCATTGACTGATAATGCCAGCACCCTGAAGTTGAAGTATCCTGCATACCAAGAAGATGAGTCATTTTATTTTCCACTTTAAATCTAGTGCAAATTGAGGCAACTTATAATGAGTGTGCTCGTTATCTATGCAGATTTTGTTATCTTTTGTAGCTGGTTCATAAAAAGAAATAATTGCCAAATATATGTAGAATTATGAAACAGCAAGAAATAAATGTGTAATCTGATATGAAGAGGGGCTAGACTAGGGTGACCACCCGTCCCGCGACTCGCGGGACTGTCTTGCAATGAGCGCTCGTGTCCCGCGTCCCGCAAGAAATACCAAAATCTTCAAAATGTCCCGCATTTTATATTGTCGCAACATCCACTACACAAATTATGGCGCTTCCTAACAACGGGCCACGGGGAAGCGCGGAGGTCGCTGATAAACGTGTGGATCTCGGTAGTAGGCCATTTTATATACAAGCACTGCGGAAAGCGACCATCATTCTTGCAGAAGGCAGACGCGCATACGCCGTTGCTCCTCTCGCCTTGATGGCAAAACATTGCAAGTGAAAATTGCTCGCCAAAAGTTGAAAAATAAACTATTGTAATTATTTGCAAATCATACTGTGTCCTGCAAAAGGGTTGTTGTGGAATTCTTTTTTTTTTTATTTTTTTTAGTGAAAACGGTCACACAAGGCAAAAAAGCCTACAACTCACAATGGTCGAAAAAGCAACAGCATTAGGTTCTAATTTTGTGTAGGAGCATGTTAGTATAAGAATAAGTATCGACAGAAAACAATAAGCCGAAAAAAATTTACTGTTATTTCGTTTTCATACATTAGGGTGTGTTGCTGTCAATATTTATGTTTTCAGCTTAGAAACCTTTAATACAATATTTACAAATACAATTAAACAAGGAATATATCGCTGAGTGAAAATCATTTTAGCTTAGTTGTCGCAAAACCGTTTGCAGGTGTATAATTCGCTTGTGGACAGCACAAGATTTCGGAGTGAAAATCATTTTAGCTTAGTTATCGCAAAAGCATTTGCAGGTGTATAATACGCTTGTGGACAGCACAAGATTTCGGAGTGAAAATCATTTTAGCTTAGTTGTCGCAAAACCATTTGCAGGTGTATAATACGCTTGTGGACAGCACAAGATTTCGGGGTGTGCGTGTTGGTGAATTACCTATGAGGCGTTAAAATACCGTCCACCTTTTATTACCCCCTCCCCTCCCCCTCCCCCCCCCCCCCCCCCCCCCCCCGGTCAGGAAGGTGGTCACCCTAGGCTAGACTGTCATGAAGAAATGGAGGATGATAAGGGAGTATATCATAATACGATGTATGAGAGCTGGACCCAAAAGTAACCGGAATTATTTTCTGGAGGGCAGGCAAAACAAGTTTTGCCCGCTAGGTGCGTTTGGACACGTCAGCATCACTAAAGCGCGAAACACATGTACGACGAAACCGTCCGATCCGACGTCCGACCGCGCAATACGACGGTCGGAGGCGAGGGTTTTCGTAGCATCGGAGAGCGTTGAAAACCCTCGCCTCCGACCGTCGTATTGCGCGGTCGGACGTCGGATCGGACGGTTTCGTCGTACATGTGTTTCGCGCTTTACAGTTGGCGTTTCTGTGAGACACTGCATTTGGCCTCAGTGGATTGACTCTGTATACACTTTTTCAATGTGTTCGCCTCTGGCGTGATGGTTGGTTTATACTAACAATGTGCAGCGATGAAATTTTGCTTTCTGTTGAAGAAAAATGCGGCGGTAACAGTTATGTTTCAGACGGCTTCAGGGGATCCTGCCCTGAGTAAAACACAAGTTTACGAATGATTTTTCCGTTTCCAATGTTCCCAACGTCCTCCAACCAGCCGAACTGAAGAGACTGTGGCAAAAATTCAAGTCATCTTCAATAACCGCTGTCGGGCGATTGATGAACTTGTGGAGGTGGTTGGAGTGTCGTGGAGTTTCTGTCAGCGAATTTATTGGAGGATTTGCTAATGAAACAAGTTGCAGCAAAATTGGTGCCTCACTATTGCTTGCACCTGAACAAAAAGGCAATCACTGCTGCGTGCCGTGCTTTAAAAACCAATTAAAAAATGTCCCCTTTTTTTTTTTTCTTTTATATTTACATGAATCTTGCTGCTATGACTACGACCCCGAAACGAAACCACAATTTAGCCAATGGAAAACTGCCTCTTCCCTACGACCCAAGAAAGCGCAGCAATAATCATCTGTTTCTTTGACATGAGGGAATTGCGCACCCGGAATTGGTTCCTTCGGGTGAAATGGTCTATCTGGCAGTTTTAAAAAGGTTGCGTCATGATTTTTGGAAGAAACATCTCGATTTGTGGCTAACAGGAGCTTGGTTCGTCCACCATGACCATGCGCCTGCCCACACCATGCTCAGTGTTCAGCAGTTTTTGACCAAAGACTTCGTGACCCGGCCCCTTACCCCTCCTTCCCTATTTACCTGACATCGCCTCTTGTGACTTTTTATTCCCCGGACCAAAAAAGGTTCTGAAAGGTTTCGCCGCTGTGGCGAAACAAAAAGCACTGAAAAGCATCAACGTCGACGAGCTTTAAGTGCTGTTTAGACCATTGGAAGAACGTTCTCGACAAGTGTACTGCATCAGGCAAAGAGTACCTAGAGGTGACTGAAATTTTAACATAAAATTAAATACACGATTTTGTGAAAATAAATTCTGGTTCCTTTTGGGTCCTCCCTCGTACATATATGAGGTAATGAAACTATCAAGACTTTGCTGTTTGCTGGTGGTGGTAACTTTAGTCGAGCCCCCGGAGTGCGGCCCCCGCACTCCGGGGGCCGCACTCAGCACCCTCCTCCCCCTTTATCGGAGCCCCTGCCAAAAATTTTATACACCTTCCCAGGTTGAGAATCTTGGATAGCCCCTTGTCGACGGTCACTCTGCAGCAGAGGCTCTTTACGATTTACTTACTTATGGTTGACTGGCTCGATGCATGGAAACCCCAGCTGGAACGCGATCCCGTAGTTTTCGATCTGGAAGCTGTCCTTGGCGAAAAGGAACCGACGTTCGTCTCGGATGTCCGCGTCCACGGTGATCTTGCCGGCAATGTAGGCGTAATTGCTAGCGCTGCACCGCTCCAAGCCTTCCAGGTCGCCCCTGACGAAGTTGCGCGGGTCGGACTCCATGGACCGCAGCAGAAGCCGGGCGATCGTGGAGTTCTCGTTCTTTGCAAGTTGCGCAAACATACCATTGAAAGATTAGCATATC